ACCATGCCCAGCTAATTTTTTGTATTTTTTAGTAGAGACGGGGTTTCACCATGTTGACCAGGATGGTCTCGATCTCTTGACCTCGTGATCCACCCACCACGGCCTCCCAAAGTGCTGGGATTACAGGCTTGAGCCACCGCGCCCGGCTATCCAGCACTTTTCTACTACCCCTTACTGTCACCTGTGTGCTTAGAATGTATTTCTCATGCATTATCAGTTATTGGGGAAAAACAGAAACCTTATATTAGGATTTCAAGGTAAGTTCTACTTCTGTTACCCCTTGTATATACGTATGTGATAGATAAAACATGTATATAACCATTATTCTTTCTGTGCCAATATAAAATGGGGAGCTTATGAATGATTTATATTTCACAGAGAATACCTATTAATAAAACAGATTATTTGAAAGCATTTTGTATGTACACAGGTTTCACTTAAAAGTAGTGAAAAATTCCAAACACATCAATTGTCCAAAAGAAGATTGGCTTAGGACTAGCTAATAAAATTTAGATTCATAATTTTTTTTTTTTTTTTGATACAGAGTCTGGCTCTGTCATCCTGGCTGAAATGCAGTGTCACGATCTTGGCTCACTGCAACCTTCGCCTCCTAGGTTCAGGCAATTCTCTGCCTGAGCCTTCTGAGTAGCTGAGATTACAGGTGCCCACCATCATGCCCAGCTAATTTTTTGGGCACTTTTAGTAGAAACAGGGTTTCACCATCTTGGCCAGGCTGGTCTTGAACTCCTGACCTCGTGATCCACCCGCCTCGGCTTCCCAAAATGCTGATATTACAGGTGTGAGCCACCATGTCCAGCCTAGATTCATAATTAATAATGTTATTGGACTGATTCAGAGAAGCAGATACATAAATTATTTTTGTTTTTTGTTCTCGTTGAGACAGAGTTTCGCTCTTGTTGCCCAGGCTGCAGTGTGATGGTGCGATGCGATCTCTGCTCACCACAACCTCTGCCTCTGGGGTTCAAATGATTCTCCTGCCTCAGCCTCCTGAATAGCTGGGATCACAGGCATGCACCACCACACCTGGCTAATTTTGTACTTTTAGGCTGGACGCAGTGGTTCATGCCTGTAATCCCAGCACTTTGGGAGGCCGAGGTGGGCGGATCACAAGCTCAGGAGTTCAGGACCAGTCTGGTCAACATAGTGAAACCCCGTCTCTAATAAAAATACAAAAAATTAGCTGGTGTGGTGGTGTGCACCTGTAATCCCAGCTACTTGGGAGGCTGAGGCAGGAGAATTGCATGAACCCAGGAGGCGGAGGATGTAGTGAGCCGGAATCGCGCCATTGTACTCCAGCCCCAGCAACAGTGTGAGACTCCATCTCAAAAAAAAAAAAAAAAATTTTGTATTTTTAGTAAAGACGGGGTTTCTCCATGTTAGTCAGGCTGGTCTCAAATTCCCAACCTCAGGTGATCTGCCCGCCTTGGCCTCCCAAAGCGCTGGGATTACAGGCGTGAGCCACTGCACCTGGCCTGGAATATAAATTCTTAACTGGATATATACCATATAAATATATTTATATACCGGCCTGGTATATAAATATCTCCACTGGATAACATTTCATTGTGCCATAAAAGCAGTAAGTGGAAGAGGAGGAAAAAATATACAGTGTGTCTATATTTAAAACTAGGTAAAAAGGGAGTGTGTGGCAATGTCAGTAGAATTTAACCTTTACTAGATTGTTTTCTTTAAAATTTGTAAAAACAATGGATGTATTTTGTGAGCCTGAACTTCCAAGTGTTTTAAGCATCTTTAAGTACATTGTGAAAACAGATGTGGCAATATACAGGTCATCAAACGATCAGAGATACCAGGGATATGCTACGTAGATACACTGATGTAAAAGGTCTACTATGTAAAGCTAAAAATCAGTCATTCCACTTTAAAGAACATTTTTTTGTTGTTTTTGAGATGGAGTCTCACTGTCACCCAGACTAGAGTGCAGTGGCACGATCTTGCCTCACTGCAACCTCTGCCTCCCAATTGAAGCAATTCTCCTGCCTCAGCCTCCCAAGAAGGTGAGATTACAGGCACGTGCCACCATGCCTGGCTAACTTTTTTATTTTTAATAGAGTTAGGGTTTCATCATGTTGGCCAGGCTGGTCTCAAAATCCTGATCCCAAGTGACCGGCCCCCCTCGACCTCCCAAATTGCTGGAATTACAGGTGTGAGCCACCGTGCCCGGCCTAAAGTAAATATAAATGTAAAGGAAAATTTTCTGAGTAAGAACAATATAGAAGTATACTTGAAATTGGCTGGGCACAGTGGCTCACACCTATAATCCCAGCACTGTGGGAGGCCACAGCAGGCAGATCACCTGAGGTCAGGAGTTCAAGACGAGCCTGGCCAACATGGCAAAACCCTGTCTCTACTACAAATA